AAAATGTTTAGTATGCAGACATCAGAAATCACAACCCAAGATACCTCTTATGGGACAAATACCTGTTACAAGATTGAGTCGTGAAGTACGGGCCTTCGTGAACACAGGCATGGATTATTTCGGGCCTATCCATGTTTCAGTAGGCAGAAGAAAAGAGAAGAGATGGGGAGTTATTTTTACGTGCATGGCAGTTCGAGCAGTACATCTAGAGGTAGCTCACACACTAAACACAGACTCCACACTGATGGCGATAAGACGGTTCGTTGCCAGACGAGGTAAGCCAGACACAATAACATGCGACAATGGTACCAACTTGAAAGCAGCAGCCAAACAGCTGGGAACTGACATGAAGGACGAACAGCTGACAGATTCCATGACAGCAAAAGGAATAAATTTCATATTTAATGCCCCAGCAGCACCTTTCATGGGCGGAGCATGGGAGAGAATGATAGGGAGCGTGAAAAGGGTGATCGGTAAAATTTTACATGAACAGTCTATCAAGGATGAGGTCCTTTTAACCCTTTTCGCTGAAGCTGAAAATATTTTAAACTCCAGACCAATAACAAAGATCTCAACAGATCCTGAAGATCTTAGCCCCCTAACACCCAATCATTTCCTATTCGCGAACGACGGCCAATGCGAATCTTCTACTTCCAGGCCGAATGCTAACTGCTTACGAAGCGACTGGAAGAAGTCCCAAATGCTGGCTGATATTTTCTGGAGTCGTTGGATAAAAGAATATCTACCGACTCTAACCAAAAGAAGTAAATGGAGAGACGACAATGCATCTGTCAAGGTGAATGATGTTGTGACAATTGTAGATGACAATGCACCTCGATACAATTGGAAACTCGGCCTAATTCAAAATCTTTACCCCGGTCCAGACGGACGGATCAGAGTGGTTGACGTGAGAACAGCGGTTTGCTAAGGAGACCTGTAAGCAAACTTTGCAAGTTGGAGCTTGAACTAGATTAGCAGTTCAACCGCGGGGGAGAATGTCGTGTCGTCTACACTTGATAGTTATTTATTTATTAATTATGTTATTAGTTTATACCTTTTATACTTGGATACTACCTGATACTTGTTTCACGGATAATGATATTAGTTTGTTGTTAAAAAAAAGAGGTGATTTAGTAATTTTGACAATATAAAAAAAGTAAAAAGTCAGAACTCACAAAAAGCCTTTTATTTCTAAAAGAAGCGACGATACAAAACACATGCGATATGCTACTTATTTTCTTACTTAAGATATTATTAATTCTATTTGTGTTCGTTTTTGTAAATAACTTTGTAATAAATTATATAGGGTGCATCACATTCATACAATAAACTTCTATTATACGAAAAAAACGGCACATAATATGTTGGAGACAACCTCCACCACTATTGTTGTATTGGTTATTTCTATTACCTTAAGTTGGTAACTTTTGACAACTCGGCTTCCTGTTGGATTGCATTCAGGGTGGAAGTACGGTTGTTGCACTTCGTGTCTTAACCTTGAGCAGTTAACTGTTCTACGTTAGCAGCCATTTATAAATTGCATTTCTAATGCATTATTAATTATATTTCATTATAAAGCTCTGCCTTCTGGGCATCTTTCGCACGTCTGGCTTCTGGCCATATCTTCAACCCTATTGTAAATAGTGTATAAAGTTTTTGTGTTGTAAATAAAAGTGATTAGTAGTAAAGTGCATCGTTTCAGTTATACACGCCATTTCAGGACCTACAACAATTCTTTTATGCAATTTTAAGATATTTATGTGGTTGTTAAAATGAATAAGTTATTGTTCAATTTAGATTTATGAATTGATTGCAAGTAAACAATTTTCAGATTTCTTAAAAATTCTAGATTTACAAATTATATAAATTAATCCCAGGTAGACACTTTTCAGATTTTCTAAAGATTCTCAAAAAACAAAGTTATGGCTTGAATTCATGCAACAAACAAATTGTGAGCCAAAATATCTTAATTTTTTGTGTCCATGCCATTTTAAAGCAGATTGTTTTGATCGAACCTCAAAACCAAGAATAAGACTTCTACCAACAGCTGTTCCAACAATAAAAGTGGTCCGGTTGAAGTATATAAGTAAATAAATTCTTTACTAACTATATTATGTGGGGTACATTATCTGAGTGAATAACTAGTGGACTGTAACTGATAGGGATAAAAGTATGTATACCCTATAAACGATGAGACTACGCATATGAGCACAGTTGATCGCAGACGCACTTGCAATGTTTGTTTACAAATTTAAAACTTTAAAAATTTTTAAAATCTTTAATGTAGTTGAAAATTGAGAGAAAAAAATACTTGCTTATGAAATGTAGATTATTCCTTTCTACTTTTAGCTGTGCTGCTATATAGACAAGACGAACAACTGACCATATTGTCTTGATTATATTTTAACGCGGAAAATTTAAAAATAACAGTAATACTAAATAAATACTAAAACACTAAACACTTTTTAAAAATGTCTACAAAACATACGCTTGATAAAAGTTTAAATTAACACATAAAACATCCAAATTATTAACAAATTTTAATCACTAAAATTATAAACCAATTTTAGAAACCATTTATTATATGATGATTAGTCATCCATAGTACAACATGGCTACCACTTCCGTCAGTTCGATTAGATTAACGCGGACATGGCATGCTCCTTCCTGACTATATATGTTCTAAGCGAAATACGGTCCAAAAAAACAATTACTAATTTAGCTTTTACAATTCACCGCAGGAACGCTAGTGTTGCTAGTGATGTTAAAAATACATGGCTTTTTATGGGAATTTTACATAATTTTGTGAAAGAAAAAAGGAAAAAAGAAGAGAAAACAAAAACTTTCAAAATACAGTGTATATACAGATCTTCGAGCATATATTATATGCTCGAAGATACAGATTCATCCATCGTACTACGAACATGGTAAACATGATGACCAATTGACGCTTGTCCGCAACTGTCACATTCAAATTTTGTGCTTTTATCGCGGGCGAAAAGTATTTCTTTAGATTTAAAATGAATGTTTACGAAATTGCTGAGAAAGTACAAATTGTGAAATGGCATTTTCAAGGCAACACAATTCGACAAATAAGCGATTTGTTTGAGGCAACATTTCAAAATAGGCCCATACCATCACTCTCAACAGTACATCGTATTGTTCAAAATTTTGAAATTCATGGCTGTGTTTCTCCCAATGAACATAAAAAGAGTTAATAATAATCAGAATGAACAAGAAGATAGGGATATTATGATTTGTGCAACTGTGGAAGAAAATCCGATGATATCTCAGAGAGAGGTTGCGGAAGTTGTAGGTTCCAGTGAAACCACAGTAAATAGAATTTTAAAAAAACATGGATATCGATCTTATAAAGTAAGAAAATGCCAAGAAATTTATGAAACTGACAATATCAGACGAATGGAATTTAGCGAGGCAGTAATGGATAAAGTTAACAATGACAACAATTTCCTTTACAATGTTGTGTTTACCGATGAGTCGACTTTTCCATTACTTGCCAGGCATAATGCATCCCAAGTCCGATATTGGTCTCGAGAAAATTTACATAAATTTGTAACAGTTCGCACGCAGTTCCCGCAAAAGTTGAATGTTTGGATGGGAATAAATACTAGGTGAAAATGTAATCGGTCCTTTTTATATTGAGAGTAATTTAAATATTGTTAAATATTTGGATTTACTCAGACACCATATTGTCCCTGAGATACGGCGATTGGCAGGAGCTCGATTTAACAATATTTGGTTTCAACAAGACGGATGTTCTGTGCATAATAGTGTGACGGTGCAGCACTTTTTAAATGAAACATTTCCCAACAGATTATTATCAGGTAAAGGTACAATTCTGTGGCCAGCTAGATCGCCGGATCTCGCACCTTGTGATTTTTTTTTGTGGGGTTATTTAAAGTCTCAGATATACAAATTCAGGGAAGAAAGAGCTAACGACTTAGATGAGCTGGAAGTGAAAATTTCAGAAGCCGTACAACACCTTACCCACTGCGCTACGTCAACAACTTTTAAAGTTGTTCAAAATTTTGTCTATTATTACAAATTCTGGTTGATGGTTGCATTATTAAATTTCGCTATTTTCATGTCTGAATATGTTATGTTTGTTCTTTATCTTCATTTATTTATAAAATATTCATTAATACTCAACTCTGTCGTGAAATGTATAAAGTTATTCCAAATATGTCACATGCGAAAGCTTTGGAATGACAGTAGCGGACAAGGGTAAATTGGTCATCGGTTTGACCGTGTTCGTAGTATCGTGGATGGATCTGTATGTATAATTAATTTAAGAGGTTAGTAATTATCTTGTGGACTTATTCTTTATTCTTATTTCATCAGGGCCGGGTGATTTATTTTTTTTAAGTTTTAATGGTTTCAGTGATTTCTTTCTTTCTTTCGGTATCTGCCAGAAAAAAATACTTATAGGAAAGGGTTTATTTTTTGGATGAATTTTGTTAGCTAAATGTTTTCTTACACAAAAAGTCAGTCAATAAGAGATTTTTTACATTATCATCACTGTCATTTATTTTTGATATATCATCAGATTTGTTGCTATTGCAGGTTATTGCATTAAGAACTTTCCATACATTTTTGTTATCATTTTAATTTTCATTCATAATCTTTTGATAGTAATTTTGTTTTTTTTTGCTAAATTTTTTGAATAGATATTATTTTTGTAAGCTAGATATAAGTAAAGCATGTGTAATCTAAGAAGTCCTTTTTTTTCTTTATTTTTAACTTTTTTTAATAGATTTCGCATTTTTATTGTTTTATAATATTTTCAATTTTTTTTAACTAAAGATAGAAATCAATTTTTTAATTTATTTTTTGTCCAAATTGTAATTTTTTAGTATATTTATAGGAACTTGATCCGACTACAATTTGAAATATATTTAGTTGGAAATCATACACAGGGTGTTTACACATCAGTATGTATGTATGTATTTTATAAAAATAAACTTGTTTTTGTTACTTACCTATCATGAGGCGGTAGTTCCAACATCTGATGAAGATTATTATATCGTTCTAAAATTAAGTCATCGGTCATTCTGAATATTCTACCAAAATAAAACACTGCGTCACGCACTGTAAATTCGCCACATAAAGCAGTATCCTGAAACAAAATACAGAATATTGTTATTGCTAATTTTAAATAAATTCAAAATAATCAAAATAGGTTCAAAAAAAATTTATTATTTTTTAATAAAATTATTTAACTGAAAATATTTTGCATTTTAATGTTGCACAAGGTTTCAAAATAAAATTAAAAATTAAAAAATGACACTTACTTGTGGCATATAACCGACTTTCGGTCCAGGAAAAGCATATTTCCCGTCTCCAGGTCTTCCTCCCAATACACGAATTTCTCCTTTTTCAACTTTAGTAGTACCAACTACTGATTTCAACAGAGTAGTTTTTCCACAACCGCTAGCACCAAGCAAGCCATAACTGTAACAAAAATTGTTTATAATTCAAATCTTATTAAAAAAAATATATATAAAGAAAATGAAAAACATGAAAGATATTTACGAGTACCTGGTACACTAATGATGATTTAATTTTTTACTTACATCGTTCCTCTTTCCACTGACATGCACATCTTTTTTAATACAGCTTGTTTTCCATATATCTTGGTTACATCTTTTATAAATACTGCATATTTATCATCCATTTTCTAGAACGAAAAAAACATTTTTTTATCACATGTTAAAAATAATTACGATCCTAATAATAGACAGAAAACTATACAACATTTAGCTTAATTAATCGCACGAAGTACTTCAAGGATCCATATTAGGGACAATATTATTTATATTACATGTAAATAATGTTAATTTAAATATAATTGATATTAATACAGCTTTTAATACATAATGTTTATTTGCAAAATACATATTACAAAATAAAAAAGTACTTAAAAATAAACGAAATAAGACACGATACTTTTTGGGCATATTCGGAACATTTAGAAAGGTATATCTCTTATTTTGTTGAAATTTCAAACTTTGTTCTTTTGAAATATGTTTCTGCACTTTTTGTTAATAGTTTATTAAATTTTGTAAGTTAATTAGTTTAAAAATAGTGATGAAATAAAGGCAATAATGTCTAATTGTTAAAATACCCAAGTTCAACTTTGGCACTCTGTATTTTCAATTGTTGTTGAAATTTCAAAAATAGGTTACTATAATTTTTATTAATATTTTTTTTTAAATTTTGAAGTCTGCAAATTAATTAGTTTGGATATAATGATAAAATAAAGGCAACAATGTCAAATTGTTAAAAAATCTAGTATGATTGTGCATGTCTCATTTCTTTAGCTTTTCTAATAAATGTTCTGCAATGATAATAATAACTCTGTTTAAGCAATTTTTTTATTTAATGAAGAGACTATATATATTTTTTGATAAACATTTTAATCCAGGTATAATACACGGCTTTTATGCTTGTTTTTTTTTAATAGAAAAAGAGACATTTTCCAAAATTTGTTTATATCTATAACTTCAAAATTTGTTGAAATTTCAAAATGAGGTTTTAAAAAATAAGTTTCTACACTTTTTATTAATATTGCTTTAAATTTTGAAGTGTAGTTAAAAGTAGTTAAAAAATGATGATAAATTAAAAGCAATGTCAAATTGTAAAAAAATCCAAGTTCAAATTTGACACCTTGTAACTTCCAAATTTGCTGAAATTTCAAACTTTGGTCTTCTAAAATGTGTTTCTACACTTTTTGTAAATATATCTTTAATGTTAAAGTCTATAGCTCAGTTGGTTTTAAAAATGGCAATGAAATAAAGACAACAATATGAAATTGTTAAAAATTCCAAGTTCCACCTTGACACCTTGCAACTTAAAAATTTGTTGAAATTTTAAACTTCGGTGTTTTAAAATATGTTTCTACACTGTTTCATAATTTTTCTATAAATTTTGAAGTCTGTAAATTAAGTAGTTCAGAACAAGTGATAAAATAAAGGCAACAGTGTCAAATTGTTAAATGATCTAAGTTAAAATTTGGCATCCTATAACTTCAAAATTTGTTGAAATTTCAAAATCTGGTTTTTAAAAATATGTTTCTATACTTTTTTTTAATATTTTTTTGAATTTTGAAGTCTATAGACCACTTAGTTTAAAAATGGTGATGATATAAAGGCAACAATGTTAAATTGTTAAAAAATACAAATTCAACTTTGACACCCTGCAACTTCAAAGTTTATTAAAATTTCAAATTTTGGTTTGCTAAAATATGTTTCTACCCTTTTTGTTAATATGTCTCTAAATTTTAAAGTCTATAGATGAATTAGTTTAAAAATAGTAATGAAATAAAGACAACAATATCAAATTGTTAAAAAATATAAATTCAAATTTGACACCTTGTAAATTCAAAATTTGTTAAAATTTTAAACTTTGATCTTCTAAAATATACTTCTACACTTTTTGTTATCATTTCTTTAAATTTTGAAGTTTGTAAATTAATAAGTTTGGAAATAATGATGAAATAAAGAAAACAATATTAAGTTGTTAAAAAATCCAATTTCAAATTGGCACCTTGTTACTTCAAAGTTTGTTAAAATTTCAAAGTTTGGTCTTTAAAAATATATTTCTACACTATTTGTTAATAGTTTTTCAAATTTTTCAAGTCTGGAAATTCGAATTTTCTATACATAAGTTCTCTGAAATAAACAGTAATGGAAAAATTTGAGGTAAAGTGTAAAATTTTAATTTTTTATTATTTTTATTGGCAATGAGTATATATAAAAAATGTTTCGAATAATATGTGTGTGTAGAAAATGTATGTATTTAGTTCATCCTCTAAACATTTACAGGGATGATACACTAGGTTGTACACAATAATCGGGAGAAGCCTATGATAACTACACAGGAAAAGGTTTATACAAATGTGTAATCTTACATTTAAAAAAAATTGAATAAACTCTATATTATTAGAGTTTTGTAGTAATATTGGTGCACCCCGTATATTTGTAATTGACGTATACTGGTACATTGATTTATAAAACTTTTGTCGAAATATTAGCAAATTACTTTACTATCAGCAGAAATGACAGAACTGTCAACATATTTTAAATGGATAGATCATAACCTGTTTATTATTTTCTCCAATTTTTAACAAAACCAGCTCATTGCTTTGTTAGCTGCAGATAATGTCCCCTGTCACTGGACAACCTGTAATTTTGCATGTAAACAAATTTAAAAAATCTATATTATTAGAGTTTTGTAGTAATATTGGTACATCCTGTATATTTGTAATTGATGTAAGGACTGATACATTGATTTATTTCATAAAACTTTTATAAAAATATTAGTAAATTACTTTACTATCAGCGGAAATGACAGAACTGTCAATATATTATAAATGGATAGATCATAAGCTGTTTATTATTTTCACCAATTTTTAACAAAAGCAGCTCATTGGTGTGTCAGCTACATATAATTTCTCCTGTCGCTAGACAACTTGTATATATTTGCGTTATTTTGAAAATTTATACAAATTTGTAGTCTTACATTTAAAAAAAAATTGAATAAACTCTATATTATTAGAGTTTTGTAGTAATATTGGTACATCCTGTATATTTATAAATGATTTATTTCATAAAACTTTCATCGAAATATTAGCAAATTACGTTACTTTTTGTACACGCTGTATGTATACCAAATTTGTTTATAATCGTTTTTAAATATATAGGCGCACTTTTTTAATTAATAATAAATTCTTACATTAAAATTACCAGCGTCAAATGTTTGAACATTTTACACACCTTTCCCAGTATCCCGAAATTTTCAATGTTTTCTCCAAACTTACTGTGGTTATTGAAGGATCATCTTGATTCATGTTTAAAACTTTATATTTAGTAAACACAACTTTTAAAAAACTTTAAAATTATTACGAGCAACAATGGCGATGACGAACACTGTATGTATAAAAAAAATTCAATACGGAAGCTAAGCTAGGCGTTTATATTCGGCAAAATAACTTTTACCGCATTGACCTATATTGTTCATTAAAAACAACAATTTTTATTTCCCTTTTCGCATGAGCACGGAATGACTAAATTAAACTTCGATGCACTTACACTGATATTTAATTAAATCGAATATCTTATATATATAGATCGTAAAAAGGTTTTTTTTCCAAATCAAGGATGCCAAAAAGATCGAGTTCTTTGACGCAAGTGCCTATTAATTTCTCGAAATTATCGGTTAAGCATCTAGAACCTACAGGTTTCTGTCAGATACTCAGATAATGTCTTGATTGAAACAAGCAGGAGATATTCGCGGAGTTAGTAATTATTTCACTCCAGGTTTAGAAACGGCTTATCGGAAATACCACCTCCTGAGGCGAAATACATTCGGGCCTTTCGATTGCTTACAAAGCCGGTTTCTAAATAATTTTTTTTTGTCTTCTACGATCACTATCAAAAATACAGTTTTTTCAGATGACTTGAGTCTTTTCCAAAACGATATTTCTAAAACTAGAGTTAAAAGTACAGTAATTGGCCGTTTAAGAATGTTGATTTACAGTTTTTTTTATGAAATTTTATTATTATATATTTAAAATAATTATAAATTAGAACTTTTTATCGATATATATGAAAAAATTCGAAATTTCTTATCCTAAACGAGCAAAATTTCGTGTCATTTGATTCAGAATGTCAAGAAATTAGTAAATATGAATTTTATTTGTTTTATCTGTCTCCAGAAGAAGACGCCCCCTGCGAAGTTTTATTGTTGAGGTTTTCTAAGAACCTCCTCGCCAACTGTCAAATCATCCCTCTCGACTTTATGTATATAAAAATTCGTCAAAACCTCGAAACACAGTGGCCCAAAAAATCTGCGAACAAGACAATGACAATGTCTCATTAGAAGGAACATTTTTGTTAGAATTAAACAATAATTGTAATGTTAAAAGAGGTAAAATAGTTCTACGTAGCAATGAACTGCCGTTAAGTGAATTTAAAATATTTGAACTTCCTAAAGTTAATATTAAAAATCCTATTTACCTAACTTAAACAGTATTGATTTGAAACAATTAACCATTCTAAAAAACAAAAAGAAAAACACTTTTTTGGCAATCCAATCCATTTAATAATATCAGTGTTTGTTTAGACTATATTGATTTATATTTTTATTTTTTTATTTATTTTTTATATTTTGTTTGTTATTTTGCATTTATTCGTATAGAAAATATAGAAAGAATTCATCGAGGAAGAGCTGCAAGGAAGAAAATCCAAAGGCCAGCACCCGGATTATCCTTTAAGGGTGGAAGAGTTATGATAATACAATCGTAACAAATGCAAATAGAATTATGCAGACGCTGCAAGTCCAAGATAAGGCCACACAAAGATCTAGCGGCAACAAAACTAGTTTGTTGCCGCCAATTTTCAGTTTTTACATTTAAACTTTTATACTGTATAGTAGACGGCACATTGTTATAGTCGTAGATAAAGTATAGTTTTCAACTTGCGGTAATGGTCATAACTCACTTTATCTGCGTGAGTTGTGACCTGCATTATCGCTCGTTAAATAATATACTATTTTTATATTATTATACAAATACAAAATACCGAAAATTCAAAAAATACTTACTGCGTTTGCTTTTATTTTCTACACGCGCTGTCGAACCACAATTTTTGTATTACTATAAAAAGATACTTAAAAGTT